AAGGACAATGTCTTATTTAAGATGTTTTGAAATGGTTATCAACTTTTTGGGTTTTCTCCCGCCAAGTGCTGGACTGGATTTAAAATCCCCATAAGTTTTCTTGCTGTATTGTTTGACTTCTTGAGTTCCCCATGTGAAGTTGAGATGATATACTTCTCTGAAATTGATGTCCCCGCGAGTTTTCATACTTTCTCCCCAGAGAAGTTGGTGCAATTATCACTCTCAGTATTAAAGAATGTATCTCGATGTCTTATTCAACGATATAGTATTAACTCCCCAATGAAGTCAGTATGTTATCTCCAACTGATGTCTCAATGATGTGATATTGTTTTCCCTAGTAAAATCAACCATGGCAAAAGTGTGAACTTCGAACATTTTGTTTCCCCCGTTGAAGTCTATGTGGTTTCCCCTGTGAAACTTGAAGGAAGATATTATATCGCCATGTTTGTGTTAATTTACTGTTATTGATCTTGTTCCTTCCTTGTGAATTTATGCTTTGAAATAGGAGTTTTTTTCCTTGGTTGGTGCTTACTATCTTATGGAATTTCCATCCTGTTTATGAGTTAGCCGAGTACTGATTGTACCCATTTTTTGTCTTGTGTGTACCCCTAGTGCCATATGTCTGTTTTGTCAGCATATCATGGTAACATTCATACTTTCATACCAGCATCATGCATAATCATTGCTCATTTGCATTTTTAATATCTTGTTGGTATATTACCCTGTTTTGTATAGTTGTGTTACCCTCTCTCCAATAGAGTGTCAATCTTAAGCAGAAAGTGTATATTCTTTCAACTTCCCCACTAAGTTGTCCCTCGTGGAAGAATTTTGTTTCAACCTTCTTTTCAACTCGTTGTCTGGATGGAATGGGTTTCCCTCTTGAGTTTATTTCTCAAGAGATGTATTTTGGTTGACGGCTTCATTCCGGTTTACTTCTGTTTGGAGTGGATACCCTCAACAATACTCTTGTTTGGATTTCAGCAAGCTTTGAGCTTTAGTTTGAGAATGTGCATTTATTTTGCACAAGAAGATTTTATCTCCTCATCATGAATTTATTGGCATTTCCAGGAGTTCTATCTCTTTCCCCAGGAAGCCATATTTTCTTTCTTCAGGAAGTCTTTATTGCAATTCCTTCTCATAGCAGCAAGTGGCGGGTCTCTTTATTTGAGAAACATGTACTTCCCCCAGTGAATCTGATGGCTCCCAGAGAAGATTCAGGTTTGTTACTCCAATGAATGGTAGTCTTGTCATTATGGAAGGTATTTTGTTGTTGAGATTTTGTTACTCCAATGAATGGTAGCCTTGTCATTATGGAAGGTAGTTCGTTGTTGAGATTTTGTTACTCCAATGGATGGTAGCCTTGTCATTATGGAAGATAGTTGTTGTTAAGATTTTGTTACTCCAATGAATGGTAGCCTTGTCATTATGGAAGATAGTTTGTTGTTGAGATTTTGTTACTCCAATGAATGGTAGCCTTGTCATTATGGAAGGTAGTTCACTGTTGAGATTTTGTTACTCCAATGGATGGTAGCCTTGTAATTATGGAAGGTAGTTCATTGTTGAGATTTTGTTACTCTAATGGATGGTAGCGTTGTCATTATGGAAGATAGTCTATTGTGGAGATCTTTTTCTGGTGAATGGTAGCCTTGTCATTATGGAAGGTAGTTCACCATTGAGATTCTGCTGCTCAGTAGAAGTTCATTTGTTCCCAGTCATGAGTATTGAATACATCTTGAAATTTACTGGTATTATCTTACCATTCCTTTCCTCGGTGGGTCGATGTTACTTTTTTTATCCCCTCTGTGAGTTGGTAGTTCACAGTTATTTGTCGGTCATCGTTATCCTTCACACTCTCTCCTCAACTTTTGAGTTGACGATGTTTTAGATCCTCTCTTGGGCATTACACCAACAGAGTCTTGTCTTTTCTTCACCAGTGATTTATTTTCCTATTTAAGTTTTCCTTTTGTTTCCTCTTTTACTTTTCACATCCCCAGTGGTGTCTTGCGCCCCTTTAGATTTGTTCATCGGCATTCATAATCATAAGCATTGCATGGTATCTTAGGGCCAAAAATAGGGTTTATTTTATATTTAAGTATCTTCAATCGTATCGACACGAAGATTTTAACCTTCATATCTATGGATAGAAGACACTTAAATAAGGGCAGTTGTTGTACCCCAATTTTTGCCCCTAAGATCCCTTCATCATATCATATCAATTCAATCACAACAAGATCACATTAGGGTTTGGTTCTTCTCCCTATATTTAGCTTTTTCTCTAGGAGGAATCACCAAGCACCTTGAACCCATCCCAAAGCTTGTCCTCCCCAATTTCTTTAACCTCGTAGGTGTCTCAGCGAGGGGCTTCGTTCTTCTTGTACTGTCTAAGTCTTCCTTCCTTGATAAGAGTCTCGATGGCATCCTTCAGGTGGACGTACTCTTCGGTCAGGTGACCATGGCTCTAGTGGTACTGACACTATTTTGTTTTGTCGGTCTCGGGCTTTGTAGGGGTGGGTCGAGGGCACTTAACCCCGCCATCCTTGAACTCAACATTGGAGCACTCTGCAAGGATACGCTCGTAGGAAGCAGTAAACGGGGTGTATTTGATGAACCGCCCGACTGGTCATTTGTGCTCGCAGAGGTCGCGAGGGTTCTACTCCCTTCTCTTCTCCCATGTTCGTCGAGAAGATCCCGCGTCATAGTGTTGCGGGACGTTAGTTGGTCTGCGGTTCCTTGAATTGCAGGCGTTGTTGGCAGCCTCTTTTTCCTCATAGTCCATGTACGCCTGACCTTTTTTAAGGAGTGCATCAAAAGACCTGGGGGGCTCAATATCGACGGCCTTTCTAAATTCAGTGCCCAGGAGGAGTCCCCTCTAGAGCAAGTATCTCTTCATGTGATCCATGCAGGGGACCTAAATGGCCTCGCTGTTGAACCGATTAATATATTCTCTGAGGGTCCCATTGCTCCTCTGGATGATTGCCTCTAGGGTGGCCTCAGTCTTCCAGTGCCGACAAGATACAGTGAAGCTGTTGATGAATTGGTTCTTCAGATTCCTCCACGAGGTGATCGACCCGGGGGGTAGGCTCTTATTTCAGTCCATGGCCATTTTCTTCAGTGTCGTGGGAAACAGTCTACATTTAATGGGGCCCCCCACATTTGATAGTGAAGCATGGTCTCGAAGTCGTCAATATGGTCGACAGGGTCAGCAATGTCGTCATATTCCTTCAGAATGAAAGGCTTCTCCATCCCTTTAGGAATAGGGGCCTCCATGATGGCCTGGGACAGCGGACTGTGGGGGTCATCTTCGTCGCTTCTTTCTGGGAAGCAAGAGAGAGACCAGTAGTAGCGGCGGTCTTTGTGTCGGTCTTGATCACGTGGAGGGTTCCTCGGTCGAGACTTTTTCTCTTCCTCGCCCCTATTTATTTTGCGTTCAGGGGATCATCGTTCTTTGTGCGGGGGGTGTGATCGCACTTCTTGACAGCTTTGGGTTGGGTCCTCTCCAATGCAGGATCTCACCCAGTACGGCGGGGAGTTAGGCTCCGAGAATCGTCATGTTTGTGTCTCTATGGGGGAGATAGGGAGCGGCCCTTGTTCTGCCGAGAGGAGGAGTTCAAGAATCAGGTCTTCAGTGCTTTCTGAGGGACCGACGAGTCTGTTCCAGCATCATTAGGCGCTCACCATGCGCGAAGATCATGTAATTAGTTTGGTTGATCGCCGCGAACAGATCTCTGATCGTGGGGTCAATATTTTCAGGAACCAGGATCTCCTGATACACAATTGACTCATAATTCCGTCGAGGATGGTAGGCATCATCGCGTGGTTGCAAGCGGGTGGAAAAATATGCGGTCATCCCGTCCTGGGGGTCTTACTCGGGGGAGGCAACATTGTTTGTGTTGCCCGCGTTGTTGTTGTTGTTGTCGGTGTCGGCGAAGTGAACGTTCTGGTCATTGTTGATAGCTTAATTGGCCATGACAATCAGAAAGTTGAGAAAGAGTTTCTTTGATCTTGAGTGAAAGACGGGGAAGCCGAGTTCCCACAGACGGCGCCATTGATCGTACCTGATCAGAAGGGATTGTCAAGGCCCAAGAACTTCAAGTTGAGCAGCGGTTGAATGTGAAGTGGGGGTACCTGCAAGATACTCGATGCCAAAGTAAGAGTCTAGACAATCATAGTGCAATTAACATAAGTGAGGTAGAATGAATGAATACTTGACTCTCTCATGTGAAAGGGTATTTATAGTCATCAGCGCTGGTCCAAGATTCATGTATTGGGCCAAGTGATTTGGACCCAATAACAAGGACTTCCAGGGTTACGTGGATCTAGTGTAAGAAGAGTTTGATGTGGTTGAAATTGCTAATGAAACATGTGTCAACACAAGATAACAGTATGACCAAACTTAAAAGCAAATCTGACATTGAACATTGGAGTTTTGTCCTCCTCTTCCTCTAGCACCACATGAGTTACAGCCTTAAGTGAATTTTGCATGAAGACAAGAAAGAAGCATTTGATCATACGTGCTCCAAGGCAAGTACTCAGAATTGAGAATTGATTTCCGCAGCATATTAATCTTCATCTTGCTAGTTCGGAGAAGCACCAGAACTTCGCAAATTCAATGGTGTTAGACGCGACGGTGGAGGATGAGTTCGGCAATGAATCATGGCTATCAGTTGAATCTTGAACAATCATTGTCAACGGTTCAGTTATTTGATCGGTTCGATTAGTGTTTCATCCCAATTCAAATGGTTTAAACCAGTTGAATTATAACCCAGATATCTCGTTGGTTCGATTTTGAAAACATCGGTCTACACACTTGTAAAGAAAACCAATATAGAAAAAACATTTCACTAAAGCCAAAGAAAAGAAACATGAAATCAATTACAACAATGCCAAATTTACATGATTAGTTAAATAACTAACACCTAAACCAAATTTAAAGAGTAAATCAAGGGACAGCAACACAAATACTCAAACAGTGTTTTTTATTTGATATGAACTGAACCAGATTACCAACCCATCAATGTTCTTCTAACTTTGTCCACAATCTGACTTCTCGCTTACTGCTGTCCAATGGAAATTCCCGACTTTCCTCCAACAAAAACCTGTAGACTTCCCACTGGCGTTCTTGTGTCGAATGTCTAACAACTTCAGCCTACAGTAAAATCAAGACATCATCGTAGTGAAATAATCAAAATCTGTTGAATTGTTAATGTGCGGTTATTGAACTGTAACTTAAATAAATACATACCGAGAAAATGAATACTCCCAACGCTTTTAAGGCCAACGTGACGTCGTAGAAAACACGAGGTCTTCCCTCTCCGGACAATTCTACGGGATTGGCAACCAGTAGTTCTCTATCTGGACCACGGTTCACTATAATTACCCGCAAAGGATGAAGCATCTCTTCTTTTAAGGTAGAGCACAGAGTTTTCTGACGTTCGGGATCTATGATTTTTTGTCCGTCTTCTTTTTGTTGAACGAACAAGTCAATATTTTGAAAGCCTTTCACACTTGAAGTGAATCTACCATAAGCAACCTGATTAACAAGAGCAAAGCGAGAATATAAATAAACCGATTATTCCGAAAAATGCATGTACAATGATTGAAGAGATTCGTATGCAGAGACAAAATACCTTAATATCAGAATCCTTTGAAATCCTCATAATGTCGTAACACAAGCCCTTCTGATCAACACACTGTATCTGAAGCAAGGTATGAGCCGGGCTCAACGTATTATCCACAGTAACACTCGGTTTCTTCAGTGTTGTCATGTCTTGACTGAGAGGATGCAGCGACACCTTGTCTGATAACTCAGGACCAAATAGTTCTTCAGAATAAGCTGGTGGAAGAGAAGAAAACCCCTGCAAATGTCCATCGTATTCAGGTCCAGCCAACTGAAGTTCGCTGGAGATACATTTCTCTCCTAAAGCTTCCATAAGATATTCACATACATCGTCTCGCCGCTTTTTCGTGTGAAACAATTCCCTGTTTTATAAAACAAAATTGGTTTAAAAGAACTGTGATAAGCTATGCTGCAAGGATATGAGTATCCATTATTTTGGAATTTAACTTTTCGATCATATCATTGCTTTATAGATCTGATAATAAAGAGAAACTAGCAGAATCAGAATACAAAACTAAATCTAAACAAATAAGAATCTGATAAAGCTACACTTACATTCATCAGTGATAAAGAACAAATCTAGGGCCCCTTCCATCAGGAGTTGGCATCACTTTAACTCGCTGAATCGTAAGCTGGAGGTTGCACAAGATTTCGTTGATATCTACAAAGATAGAACAAAAAATAAATATTGTATTTCAGTCTACAAGTGACAGCAAAAACGAGAACACCCATTAGGATCAAGCTCAAGTTGTTGATGCGCATCCGATTCTTACTTATAAAGAAAAAGCAAAAGAGAGAACATAAGAGAATAATGCTAAGTGTTAACATAATTAGTTACCGTATAATAATCCTTTCTGATCGAAAATCCAAACCTTCAACAAGTAAATTTGATTCGGTGAAGGATTAGCAGATTGTTGTTTGAAATGATAAGAAAACAAACATGAAGGACAAGGTGAAAGAAGCCTTGTCTTCAAGCTTTCCCAATCAACTTTGAGTGATTCAGAATGCGGAATAACCCAAAAGATTATGTAGCACCATCTTCCATCCGTCGAAATGTCTACATTAACATCAAATACATCATGAAAACAGAATTGTTAGTACTTACCAGGCTTCGAATCTTGAAAGGAGTCGGTAACACGATTTAATCAAATAAGTAAAAATAAATTAGTTGAATTTCGAGACAACGTATATATTTTTCACCATAATTGATACATCATATTCCAGATCAGGATTCTCTACCTTTGAATCCTATACTTTTCTAACATTGTCTCTATCTCTCTTGATCCATCATTTCTCTAATTAAAAATAATTAATTTTAATCATCAATCTCTCTCCTTAATACACATAAATCACGTAATTAATTAATCCAGTGATATCACTATCTCATACAAAAGAACATTAAACTTCAACTTTGTGAAATTACATAAATCAAAGTTGAAATTTCAAACATTTTCCAACCACTATAAACTCCACAACAAAATCCGCAAGTAAACAAAACCAAAATGAATAAGAAAAAAAAAAGAAGAAACCGAGATGAGAAAAATGAGATACCGGCTCTGGTAATACGAAGACCGAATTCAAGGATGATTCTGCAAAGATCACAGCCAAGACCAGCTTTATCGGGGCAATTGACAGTGACAGTTGTTGGCTCGTTGGATTTCTTGGCGTGCTGGATCACAACGATGTCGTCCCATGGGATTCCCATCACTGAGAAATGGTGGATTCAGAGGAGAATTGTAGGTGGGAAGAGCATTGCCGGAGCTCCGGCGAGGATTGCTCCGGCGAACGGTTGTGAGAGGTTTGAGAAGAAGAGAGGATATAACATAACAGAGTGGCAAATACTAATATTTTATGATTATATATATATAGAAAAAATTAAAAATAAAATAAAAAATTGTTAAAATATGATTTATTAATAAGATTTTTCTTAACCACAAAGTTTTGTGATGAGATTTTCTATAACCCACACACACACAAAAAAAATAAAGTTTTATGAATTTTAATTTAGATTTTGTTATCTTTAGTGATAGAGGCCGTATTAAATTGTTTAAAAAAATATAGACCATAATAATTGTCCTTAGGTGAAAAAATCAAATTAATATATCCAAAAAAGACATAATGAGTTGATTTTTTTTTGGTAAAAGCAAATCAATTGAAATTGCTTTTTATTGTTTTAAATATTAATTTTGTTTCATTCAAAATATTGAGATTAAGTTATTTTATGTGTAAGAGAAAATTATATATTTATTGAAAAAAATATAAGTTATAATTAAAGAAATTTATCTAAGTTTTTCTTATATTTTATTTATTTTATAATTTTTTATTTTCCTTAAAAAAAATTTAAAATTATATTAAGTTTCTTAAAATTTATTAAAATGACATTAATAGTCAATTTAATTTTAAAATATATATTAACCTCTTATAAATTCTCATCAATTAGATAAATATAAATTTTTAATATATATATATATATATATATATATATATATATATATATATATATATATATATTATATATATATATATATATATATATATATATATATATATATATATATATATATATATATATATATATATATATATATATATATATATATATATATATATATATATATATATATATATATATATATATATATATATATATATATATATATATATATATATATAATGAAACTTCTCTTAATAAATTTTAATTTTTTTGTAATATGTTAATGATAAATAAACATACAATCTAATGTATATTTTAAAATTAGAAGAAGTGGTGTGTCATTTTAATAAATTATAAAAAAAGTGAATTCAGTTTTTCTTTTAAAACAGAAGCTTTAATCTATATATATTTTTAAAAAATATTTATTTTAATTGTAATTTTTCACGGGGTTTGACCGTCTATCTTACTTTTTTTATTTTATCAATTTAACTGAATTTACTTTATCACTAATGACGTGATAGTTTTTATATTAAACTTATTATCTTAATAATTAATTTTTTTTATAAATATATTAGTTACATAAATACTAAGATTGTGTAATTATTAGTGTATCTTAATAATTAATTATTAGTGTATCTTCTTTGTAGCTAAATATTTTTGTTGAAAATAATATAGATTAATATATTATTAAGAAAAAGAGTAATTAGAATTTTTCTATAAAAAAATAGATTATTTAAAAAAAAACTTAACACTTTCTATAATTTTAAAATATGTATTAAATATCTCTCTCTATATATATATATATATATATATTATATATATATATATATATATATATATATATATATATATATATATATATATATATATATATATATATATATATATATATATATATATATATATATATATATATATATAATTATATAGAGAGAGGGAGATATTCATTTTAAAGAATTTCATATGAGGTGAATGTAATTTTCATTTTATTTTATAAATATGATACTTTAATTAAAAATTTATGGTAATTGATTTCAATAGTATAACCATTTTTAATTGTATGTTACTTTATCATTTTTTTACCAAATTGTATTTTACTTTATAAAATTGGGACATTGATTATACTTTTTTAGTAAATACTAAATATAATAATATATTTATAAATTTCTTAAATTCTTTTTAATAAACTAAACTAATTTGTCATTTTAAAATTGTAAATATTTCTTTTAACTTTTTTCTATGTATATATTTGACTACGATTTTGATCTCCATTTGATCTGATTTACGAATTGATCTTGATCTGAACAGGGTCAGCGCTTGTTCCACCGTTGAGGAGGTCCAATTCATCATCTTTGCATAAGATCCAAAGACAAGCAGTTCAAGTTGGGGATCGTTGGTCAACTCTTCATGTGTCTGTTGGGGAACCTGACCCACGTGTCCACATCATCATCATCATCATCCTGCCCTCCGAGAATAACAGGTCCAGCTCCTGCTTTCTCAAGGCAGTTGACCGGGGAGAGGCCACGTGTTGGACTCCATACACACGTAAGCCTTGACAGTCTTCATTGTTGGCCTCACCGTGGTCCAATATTGGAGACCTTGACCCACCGCTGGGGCTATAAATACCCTCTCACTTGAAAAGGTCAAATATTGAATCATTCTATCTCACTCACTCATACTTGTTTGCATTATTCTGAACTTTACTTTGACATCAGATTGTCTTGCAGGTACCCCACCTGTAACACCCCAAATTCTACCCGGTAGTTATAGCAAAAATCAGAGTATTTAAAAGCTTCCAACACATTT